TCACGTTATTTATGAGATTATGTGTGACCTAAGATTTTCTGTTATCCCCCACCCCCTAAAATATTAGCTAATATATGACAGCACACTTATTATTAACAACTACAAATTATGATCTACCATGTTTCATTCCATTTATAAATTTAAGCGTACAACATGATGATCTTGAATATATTGAATTTTTGATGCAATATATATATATATATATATATTTAAAAATAATTTGAAAAATTTATGATAAAGAAGATGAGTATCATTAATCCTCTTTTTTTAGATCACACCATCATGATATTACTACTGTTGCTAATTTAAATTTCTTTCTAAAGTTTTATTTTTTAATTGTTGAAATTTGTTATAATAATATTTGCAAATGGTAAGTTTTTAAATCTTTATACATAATAATGATAATGAATTAAGAGAAAGAAGAGTAGAGTAAATATAGATCGTACTCCACTTAAATCTACTTTGATGTGTATTTAATGCTAGACTTTTAGAAATATAAATTATATGTAGTCTTGAATTTTATTAGAATTTAAACATTTTACAATTATTATCAAATAAATATATACATTCTCATTCACACACACATATATGCACAAACATGTTTACATTAATCCACAAATTCATTCACAAATTCTCAATAATCCATTCCCACAAAATTATTCTAGGTTGACCAATTAAGTGAAGCACAAATCACAGAATTTAACGAAGCATTTTCTTTGTTTGATAAAGACAATGATGGTACATCACCACCAAAGAACTTGGTACAGTAATGAGATCGCTTGGTCAAAATCCAACAGAGTCAGAATTACAAGACATGGTCAGTGAAATTGATGCTGATGGTAATGGGACAATTGACTTTCCAGAATTCTTGACAATGATGGCCAGGAAAATGAAGGATTCTGATTCTGAACAAGAGATAAAAGAAGCTTTTAAAGTTTTTGATAAAGATGGTAATGGTTTTATTTCTGCTGCTGAACTAAGACATGTTATGACTAATCTCGGAGAGAAACTTACTGAACAAAAAGTTGATGAAATGGTAATTATTATTGAGATTTGCATATAATGAATAGATGTGGATGAAAATATTTATAATTAATTTAAATTTTTATTTATTTAGATTTGTGAAGCAGATGTTGATGGTGATGGACAAATTAATTATGAAGAATTTGTTAAAATGATGATGACAAAGTAACTGATTCATTTCCATCATCTTTAACTTTCTCTCCTTTTTCCATTTTCTCTATCTTCTTCATAAAAAAATTTTTGTAAAGATTTGAACCCTTTTAAAATAAATTTTTTTTTTCTTTTTACTTCTTCCATTATTTAATTAGTGAAATAATGTGCAATTTTGTAAAAATAAATTCTTTCTGTCATATAGTTATCACATATATTTAATCTTGTAAAAAAAAAAAGGGAATTGCTATTTCTCGCCGGTGGTGATTGTCCCCACCTAAGAAATTATACAATTTATGATTACCCCCAACCCTCACCCCCCCCCCCCCCGCTTCA